TAAACCCCGATCCGCCAAACCGATTCTTTATCATTACCAAACATTAAAACCCTATCCGCCAAACCGATTCTTTATCATTACCAAACATTAAAACCCGACCCGCCAAACCGATTCTTTATCATTACCAAACATTAAAACCCGATCCGCCAAACCGATACCTTATCATTACAAAAACATTAAACCCCGATCCGCCAAACCGACTCTTTATCATTACCAAACATTAAACCCCGATCCGCCAAACCGACTCTTTATCATTACCAAACATTAAACCCCGATCCGCCAAACCGACTCTTTATCATTACCAAACATTAAAACCCTATCCGCCAAACCGATACCTTATTATCACCAAACATTAAAACCCTATCCGCCAAACCGATACCTTATTATCACCAAACATTAAAACCCTATCCGCCAAACCGATACCTTATTATCACCAAACATTAAAACCCTATCCGCCAAACCGATACCTTATCATTACCAGATTTTCGATCCATCCCATCATGTTGATTCCACATGACTATAATCTATTGTACAAATCCATTACGATAACGGTTGTACGAATATTAACGTTATCTTCCATTTATCTGCAATTCTATAAATTCCAAACATTTACAATTGTCTTACGAAATTTAACTTAATGTGTTATATATGTGGAATATATTCCTGTTGAACCTTTTCAGTCTCCAAAAGTTTTTATTTTATTTCTTACTCTACAACGGTGTTAGAGTAATAAGTATAAGAACATACTCCTTGTCTTTCAAATCATAGAGAGATTTTGTCACATCAATTAAATATCCAAATTTATTCCTCAAATACCAGAGCAGGTGTTTGTTAATGCGCGAAGGCTTATAAAGCTTCGGTAGCTAATGAATTCTAACAAACATTTTTACAATGTAACGGATGGATTGTATCAATGGTGTTATTTAGTTTCTTCCCGTACAGATCTCATTTTCATCCTTTTTGCCTTATCTGTATTGTAATTGTGTTTTTCCCTCCAGTTTGCCTGTGCTTTCGGTTATGACATCTGATTTAGAACATGCCATACCTTACGACTAGATGTGTTTGTTATAACACCTGTCATGATCCGATAATTTCTTACTTTTAACGGTTTTACTAGTTACTGTAAATGTTGTTATTTTCTAGTTTTATTTTCCTGTTGTTTTCAAGGATAAAACATTATGAGAAATTAATAAACGTTATGGGAACTATAGTCTGATTCATAATTTACATGAAAAATATATCTAATTGAAAAACTAATTAGAACAATCGGGAGTAATGATTTTACATTAATATTCTCAAATTATTTCAAATTGATTTCTGTTTAAAATTCTATTTTTATAATCCAATCCGATCAAAGTATGCATGACAACATGCGAGAAAATAAAGAATGCTTGTTGTCTGATCAAGTCTCCTTTCTGACGTCGATAATATCAAACATCTAGTCTTGCTATCTAACTAGAATTCGATGATAATCAGATGTATGCTAACAGTTATCTTCTGTTTCACTTAGCCATGCCATACCAGAAGGAAAAAGAACAGTTGGGGGATTTAGAGCTTGAGGAAGCTCACACTGAAGTACCTCCGCGTTCTACAGAGGCAGAACCGCCAACAGCAATAGGCCATTCCAGGGCAGATGTCAATAGGGCTGGATCAAGTGCCGCTCTGGAAAGACAAATGTCCAAGGAAATCACCATACACTTCAGAGACCTTAAGGAGTTAGAACTGATGAAGGAGAGGGCCAAAATGCAGTCACTGGTGGATGAATGTCCCATAAGTAAGTTTAAAATCCTGAATGTCTCATAAGTAAGTTTAAAATCCTGAATGTCTCATAAGTAAGTTTAAAATCCTGAATGTCTTATAAGTAAGTTTAAAATCCTGAATGTTTAATAAGTAAGTTTAAACTCCTGAATGTCTCATAAGTAAGTTTAAAATCCTGGATGTCCCATAAGTAAGTATAAAATCCTAAAAAAAACATAAGCTAGGCCACCTATCAAATTGAAAAGTATAGATCCTGACTACTGGGTATAATGAAAATACAAAACTACAAGCATTTTCTTTTCAAGCGAAAGAGAAAGATCACCACTGGACACCAACATTTGATGGGTCAGTCCGACCAAGACTGGAACTGACTTATGTGGAACCAACAGATTACAAAGAGGTCGTCCACCAACTCCATCCAAATGGTAATGTGGCCAACGGTCATGTGGCCAACGCACAACCTAATGGCAATGCCACGCACGTGCCCGACAAAAACTTGGCGACACAGCCAGTTTACGAGCAGGACGAGGATGAATATGAGTCCACAGATGATGACAATCGTTTCATTTCACCATCTGATACAAACATGGGGCCTGACAAGAAATCGAAATCGAAGAAAAAGAAGAAGAAGAAAAAGAAGAAACATGTTCAAATAAAGGAAAACAAATAACTGAAAACATGAAACCAAAAGATTCCTTAATCATGTAATTGATATCTTCTGTTATAACTCCGAGAGTTCGGGGTAGACGTCTAAGTAGTACAATGTACCTGCGCAAATTACATGGGTGCGGCATTTAAACGTGATCTGAAACGTGTTTGGATACATGTTCAGAGTTCTGATCATTGACACAATGTGTTTGTTTGCAAATGTCAGCTGATGGCGATATGTTCTGATACATATGTGATGTGATTTCGAACGAGCAGATCGGAGCTCATTAATTAACCTACATATCGGTATGCTTGATAGATATGAAACGATTACTAGTGAATTATAATACAACACACTGTTATTTTGATAATAATTTTACGTATTAATATTCTTTCATCTTAATATATTGATCATATGTATTATATATTCATCTATAAACAGCAGTTGATTCTGCAGTAATGACCTAAAAATACTAATATCCATAATTTTGATATAAATCATTCTTCTCTCCAACAATGATACTAGTACGAATGTGAAGTCACTACCAGTTGAAGACCAAATGTCGTTCTCACAGTATACGAATATATTACATATTTTATCTATTAACGCACCTGTTAATGTTGGTCAAAAAACGTTATACGTCTATGTGCATTTCTACATTTTATCAAAACTTTTCCTTTCATGAAGCTAAATTCTTTACTGTTATTTTTTGATATTATATATTCGTCACTTTGCTACAGAAACACCACAACATAACTTTAGATATGACATTTCATCGTCTATTTGACGTCACAAGAACTACTGAGATGACGTCACTCATTCACAATGAAAGTCGATACAAAAGGATCTTGTCATTTGGTATTATGTGTGTAAAAGAGATGACCGATCCAACCTTTCTGACTTCATATGACTAAAGGTTTTTTTTTTTGTACACTATAAGAATAAATCATGTGAAAATTAATTTTAAATCTTCTTATAGCATTTATGCTCTGATGATTTCCATGAATTATGTCATCATGGTCACAATAGTTCTCATACTGCAGTATGTCATTGTATTTCTGAATATCTCAGGCTTATTTAGGTGATTCTGAAGTGCTAGAGACATCGGTTATGGAAGCTTTCAAATGTCACATATGATTTAATGTTCTTTTTTTCCATATATATATATGTCCCACGTATGTGGTCATCTGATATAAAAGAATGTGAAATAATATGTTCTGTTTTACTCTTGCATTGATTTTGTGTCCTTGACCGAGACATTATCATTTTTCTTTTTTTTTAATCTTATTTCCATGATGAACAATGCCGTTGGATATTTGGACTGGAGAGTGGAGGTTCACAGGTATTCTCGGAAAAAATCTGGTAAAAACCATCCTCTAACCTAAATCATATTTGTAACTCAACTCTATAAAACGAGCTTAGTTTCTGGAGATAAGTGTTATTGAATAATAGCCAGAAATATTCAATATATTTACTCCATCCATAAAATTTGTCCATCTGTTTGAAATGTGAATAAACTTATAGATTAGATGTATAGTGTCAAAGGGAACTGAATTCAAAGGATAGAATCTTATATCACAGCAGAACTGGAATTAAAAAAAAACCCACTGATTTGCTCCAAATACAGTAGAAACAGAGACACCCCACCTGAAAAGCAATCTCAAAAAAACCCTTTGGTTAAGAAGCATTGTATGAAGTTTGAGTCAAACACTCCAAAGAAATCTCAAGTAATCACACAAAACCAGTTTTCTTTTTACAGTTACAATGACCTTGATCTTTGATATTTTGACCTGAAATGCATTCCCAAGCAAGTACCTTTGGAAAAGATATTGTACAAAAACAAATTTCAATATATAGTATCAATGACCTTTACATTTGACCTTCAAACCTGAAAAGCACCTTTGGTAAGGAAGCACTGCGTAAATTTTGACTATAATTGTCCAAAGAAAACTCAAGTTATCACATGAAAACCTATTTCCAATACATGAAAACTGTCCTCGACTGTTGACCTTTGAACCTCAAAAGCAATCATAAGGTAGCACTTTTGATAAGGAAGCTCTGTATGAAGTTTGAGGTAGATCGTCCAAAGTATACTCAAGATGTCGGACTAAAATAAACCTATTTATACAGTAATGGTGACCTTGACCTCCGACTTTTGAACATGAAAAGTAATCCAAAGCTTTTGGTAAGGAAGTACTGTATGAAGTTTGATCTTGATCAGCTAAATTGAACTAAAATTATTGTGAAAACACCTTTGTGTTGGATGACAATGATGCCGTTGACACAGTACCACCTAAATGTTGCCTTTGGCAGGCGACACAAAAACTACACCTCATTTGATTTATAAATTACAAGTCACTAAAAACATTAACATTGTATGTTAAATTTGGATCTTGGAAAAATTTGTATATGACAACTAGTCCCTTTTAGGTACATTGTACTGGTCCAATTCTTTTACAATGTCTAAACCAAATATTGATTAGTAGAAATGTGGATTTTTTATAGTTCCAATTTTGTTGTAACTTTTTCAAAATTTATCCATATCATTTTTGAACAGTGGAAAAAAAGACAGAAAAAACAGAACACATTCAAGAAAAATATCACATTTAATAACATTATCATATTATCACATAAGAGCTTTGAAGTATTATGACTAGTTCATCATCTCTCTTTTATAAACTCCTGTAAAAGCAGATCAGCAGCTGCACCAGGAGATATGACACCATCAACAACTTGTCTCTCAACATCCGAGATTTTACATTTCACCAACTTGTGAGATCGAAACAAATCCATGATATTGTCGTGTATGTGATTCCACATCCATCTTTGTTTCTGCATCTGTCTTTTGTTGGTGAACTCCTTAGAATCTATCATTGTGTTTTTAAATGTGTCCATCTTTGTCCACAGGTCCTCAATACCTTCATTACGTAGTGAGGATACCCTCATCACCTGTTGGGGAAAAATAAACTGGAACCTGAATAAACTGGAACCTAAATAAACTGGAACCTGAATACGCTAATCAATAGCTAAGCTAATCAATAGCTGTTACACTGCCATGAAATTATCTAACATCTCCTCTTTAAAATTCCCTCAATAAAGTAAGCTCTTATACATTGTATACATTATGATTAAGGGATGAAAACAAAAATATTTAAATAATTCCGTCTTCCATGAATTTACAAGTATCATTATCTAGATAATGTATGGAAGGATATAAGGATTATAAAGAAGGGGTATCACTCCCATAGAAATTGCAGGATTGCAGATCAAAGACTTTGGATGAAAAAATTTGTTAATAGGACACCATTTTGTCATTATAATTTTCTTAACAGGGGCATAACTCTACCCCCACCAAAATGGCCTTATTGTCTAAAATACCCAGAAAAATATCTATAAATGAATAAGTGGTCAAGAAAAGAAACAAACATGATAGAAAATTGACAAACACAGCTTGATTCCGAGTATTTATAACTAAAGCTGCTGACCCGATAGTTACCTAGTTAGATCAATTTTAGGATTCGGCATAAAGAGGCAGAATTGCAGAAAAAACAGACCATTTTTGTATAATTATGTAATGATTTAGATGTGAAAGGGGCATATTCAAAACATTTTGAGTGATGTTTGACAAATGTGGAAAACAGCAGTTTTTTTTACATATGTACCAACCCAGACAGTATCAAAAACTGATTTACATTAACAGATGGGTGAGATAACCATATGATCAGGCCATGTTTTGTATTATGTTTTCACGTTATTAGGTAACATTAAAGATGCAGACCTGAATATAATCACATGGACAATTTAAAGCCATACACACTAACATGATTTTGGAGACAGTTTTACATAAGTGGCTTCCTTTTAACTTCCATTTGGTAAGTTATTTATGAAAAAATTTATAAGAAGAAAAATAGAAGTACAGTTTATACTGAATCTGTTATAATAAACAAAGCATTGACAACAACACATATTAAAGTACACAACATCCATGATGATGATGGTTCATCGTCTCCATGACTCTGCCCGTCACCGGGCACCGTCCAATTGACTTGAGTCAATTCTCTGGCAACATGCACACAACATTCCAACATAAATTTATATAAAATTTTATGCTCAATGATCTCCCTTTTATCTCTTCAAAGACAGTATGGTAAACAATCTTTGTTTCCTTTTAAAACCTGGGATTACCTTAGGTTTCCAGTTTGGAGATCTTTGTCGCATGAATTTGAGAGCGCTGATGTATTCAGCTTGTATAAGACGAGCAGCACGCACAAAATCTCCATCTGATTTATTTACAACAACCAAATCTGCCTTCTCCACAATTCCTTTCTTTATACCTTAAAATAATGACAAAAAAAAGGAAACATAAAATCAACAGAAGTTGTGTCAGGAAAGCATAGTCTGCTAACAAGATAATTTAATTTTTCAAAACCATTTGGATATTTCATTTGTGTTCTAAATGGCCATAACAAAATGATGCATTTAGTATGGATTGTCATGCCGGAGACCAGGGTTCTATTTCTATCTTGACAAATTCCAGGAGTGTGTTTTTCCTTCATCACATTTGTAGGGGAGTGATGATTTTTCTATGATATAGATGACATCATTTAATAGCTTTGGTGACGTTACACAATAGTAACAGGAGAGGGCTGTAACCTGAAGACAAGAAGTGAAATCAACACTAGCAAAAGTGGAGATATTATAGAGGCTTGTCAATGGTAGAAGTAAAGGTATTATAGAGGCTTGTCAATGGTGATAGTAAAGATATTATAGAGGCTTGTCAATGGTAAAAGTAAAGACATTATAGAGGCTTGTCAATGGTAATAGTAAACATATTATAGAGGCTTGTCAATGGTAATAGAAAACATATTATAGAGGCTTGTCAATGGTAGAAGTAAAGACATTATAGAGGCTTGTCAATGGTAATAGTAAACATATTATAGAGGCTTGTCAATGGTAGAAGTAAAGATATTATAGAGGCTTGTCAATGGTGATAGTAAAGATATTATAGAGGCTTGTCAATGGTAATAGTAAACATATTATAGAGGCTTGTCAATGGTAATAGTAAACATACTAGACCAATGTCGAGGAAGGGCCCCGCATAATACCTACCCCTTATGATTGAGTTTCTTAATATTAAGAAATATATGGACAGGTGTCAAGTGTTGAAAGCAACTTTCATCAAAATCCAATGAAAATGGACAGATGGACAGATATATGGATCAATGGTAATAGTAAAGATATTATAGAGGCTTGTCATAGAGGTTTGTCAATGGTAATAGTAAAGATATTATAGAGGCTTGTCAATGGTAATAGTAAAGATATTATAGAGGCTTCAATGACAAGGTGATTAATAGTAAACATATTATAGAGGCTTGTCGCATCGCGATGCGGGGCCCTAATAGTAAACATATTATAGAGGCTTGTCAATGGTAGATAGTAAACATATTATAGAGGCTTGTCAATGGTAGAAGTAAAATGAATCCTAACCTTGTAGCTCATCACCACCAGCCGGAGGAATGAGAAGACAAAACATGTCAACCATATCAGCGACGACAAACTCTGACTGCCCCACACCTGAGAAAAAATAAATATGCACTTATTGATAAAAGACATCTAAAATATAAACCCTATAACCAGTGGTCTAACAATGAATTCAAGACAACATATTTACCAAGTAAATTTACAGGGCAATTTCTACAATATAAACTGAGGCACAATAAATAAAGGCGAATGTGCAAACATGATAGCATCAATGTTGTGGAAGGCCTTACAATCAGAACAGATGTTCCATGTGATGGATCACAATAGTGATAAAGAATCTCATTCTAGTTAACATAAAGTTATTGACAAGGATTGTAAATATAACCACTGGACTGTCATGTATATGTTTGTTACAAATGACAATGTCATTACCAATGACGAAGTTTTGCAGGCAATTTCAGGTTTGGTTTCTTGTTGCTTTCTATTAATTATCAGGGCCATTAGGACGTGTCACATTTGTGTGGTGGAGTCACTCATGAAGGAAAACTATAGAACTAAAACAAAGTACCTGATGGCTGCCCCATGTAGGCCTTGAGCCAGTGGTAGGGGGCTAATGATAAAAGACAGCCAGCCTCCATCACTACTCACCCACTGTGGCCCCATTTGTAAGCAAACATACCATACAAGGATAATATGATGCTTAATTAACTCCTTTTGACATGGTTGTCTAGACACATTTAAACAATATTGGTGTAACAAGTGATGTGAACATATACAAGATACAAACCTATTGTTTCTATGAGAATGATGTCATATCCAGCTGCCTCGCACACAAGTATTGCCTCATTAGTCGTCCTAGTAACACCTCCAAGTACACCTCGAGCAGGTGATGGACGGATATAGGCATTCCTGTTAACTGACAACTCAGGCATTCGTGTCTTGTCACCGAGAAGACTACCTGTATAAAATACACAAGAGCAGACGTTTCAACCTGGAACAAATTGTGATTATCATTCTTTATGCTGAAACCATCCAACTCTTGAGTGATTTAGAATGATCAGAATAAGAACTATACCTCAACAATCATGAGACAAAACAAGATGATTAGCGACCAGGAAAATGTCAACAAGAACAAGCTAACTTAATCTACCCGATACACGTCAAGTTCAATGAAAGACGTGGTTCATATACTTTGTTTATTGTAATACCATGTGATATAAAGTTGTCTGCTACTAAACACTGCACTAATAACATTCAATCAGTAAGCTATCATACCTGGTCAATGGTCAGTGTCAAACTGAACAAAGGGCAATTACTCTGAATTTGGTCAGACAAACTCTTGAATACTAGGTATATATACAGATTAGGTTATCCACAAACATATTTGAATACAAAATACAAAAATTTGACAGTCATTTTATTGTATTGAAACAAAATAATCATTCCTTTGGATGTTATAAAACACAATTTAAAACAAAATTGTTAACTGCATTGTGAAAGTTATAAAACACATTTTCTCTATAAATTTTATCTTCAACAAGACAGTACATTCTTCTCAATGAATGTGAAATTATATGCCAAGAATGTGTTGTCCCCACCACAGTGAATCCTATACTCCAAGGAAATTTTATCATGTTGATAAACTTAGGAAACTACACAAATGATTCAGGTTTCATTTTTCTTTTTCTAATTCTAATTTGACCTGCATCAAAGAAAATGTCATTTTAATACAATAGTATTACTAGTATTATTAAACATCATAAAGAATACTGGCTGAGACTTGTTTCTTTGTCAATATTACCAGGTTAGTGAAACTATTTATTGACCTCATCAAAAGGCTACAACTGTATGATGAAGTCTCTGAGTCTCTTACCTCCAGTGTGTGCGGAGGACGGGTCCACAGCCAACACTGCTACCCTGTGTCCTTGATTTGTTAAGTAGGTTCCAAACACTTCTATAAAGGTACTTTTACCAGCTCCAGGAGGGCCTGATAGGCCTGTATAACAATATGATTAATAAATTGCAAACATGCTGCTATGTTTTTTTTCTTTCTTTTAAATATGTAGATTAAATAAGCTGGACCTCTGGACAAAACATTTAGTTGAAATTTTGAGAAATTTCACTTTGCTTTCCGTCCCTGGAAGAAAAACTTCTGCAAAGTGCAGCGTAAACTTCAGCATATTTAAAAGGGCTACTAAGAGTTCAAAATGCAGAAATCAACATTTTATTTCTATCTTGATGAAAAAGAAAATTTTGTTTAAAGATCTGACGACTTATTATACTTACCTATTCTAAATGATGAAGTGGTGTTCCCGAGGCATTTTGCATTTTCCTGTAGTATAAGATTCAAGAGTTTTTTTGCCTGTAGTTTCTTAGTTTGATTTGCAGACTCCACCAGAGTAATGGCACGAGCCAGACAGCCTCGATCATTGTTTCGTAAGCCATGGTAGAGAATGTCAACATCGTAGCTGTACCCTTTTGTGGTACTCAGGTGTCTATGGTTCTGAGATGGATACACATTTCTAACATTGAAATGATCGAACAAAGTCTTTGGTCGGTTGTAGTTTCCATAACAAAATTTGAAAGAACTGGAATTTCTTACATCAAGATACAATTTTTTCCTATAGCCTTTACAGCATCTTATTGATTGTGATTGCCCTTGTGATAGCTCAGCATGTGAAGAGTGTATTTCAAAATTCTTTGTGGTGCAGGCAGGTTTAATAAATTGACGAACACAAGTCATTGGTTTAATGATACATGTCACATGATATTGTCTCCATGGAAACATGAAACCTTTCTGTACGCCAGCAACAATCATTCTGAACCTAAAGATCCTCCTGAGACATCACCTGCAACATTTTCAAACACATAATTCTCAAAAAAGGATTTGAAGATGAAAGTAAATTTTATGCAGCCAGAAACTTACAACATGCTGAGTAATGGTAAAAATTAGAAAATTTAATGAGGCAATGACTTTAAAAATCAATTTCAATCAAATTGAAAAATTTCCCGTGGTTTCTTAAAGTATCAGCTTTACAGATTTATGTACTTTCTGTGTTGAATAGAAAAGCCCTGTTTTAAATCAGAAGGTGATTACGTACTATTTTGTACAAATTATTCATATAATGTATTAGATCCTGATTAGGACGAGTTGTTCTGGAACACTTCTTCCGTCCATATCTTCTGTTCATTTTAATTTCTCTCAAGATCTTAATTTTGATTTCCAATTCAAACATGAAAGGAAATGCAAAGAGAAACTACAGCAGTTGATGAATTATCTTAAATAAAAACAAAAAATAAAGGTTCACATAAATTTTTGTTGAAAAATGATTCCAAAATCAGTGTCAGATTTTAGCTCTCAGCAATGAGTTAATCTCATAAACAGAGTTACTTTCCCTTTCATTTAATTTTTGATGATCTAACAATCTGAAGCAGTTGTCAGTAAAAACAGAAAGCACAGCAATAAACACAACAAAAATGTAGTAGAGTTAGAACTTTCCTCATATTACAAAAGAAATAACAGCACACAACAGCATTTTTCTTGTTAAGAATGAGATATTAATTTCATAAGCCACATTTTAATTACAAAAAACTGAAAACATATGATCTAGTTTTTTTATATATATAAATTGGTAAGCCATGTTTATGTAGTGTACAAACCATTATTTAAATCCAGGTCCAACTTAAAAGATATTGCCATCCTGCCTGTTGTTTCAATTTCAAAAGTGCATAAAATTAAAACTTGTAAAAGCAATTTCTGTGGTAACACAGGTATGGATGAACAGGGGAGAGGGAGGTTGTAGTTCATTGTTGCTTCACAACCTATTAACAGTAGAAGTCATTTTAAGCACCAGATTATGTGATTGGGCATTCGAGTACACCTTTGTCTTTTGTTTCGACTCCCGAAGATAAGTTTTGACTCTTGAGTTTGAAGAGACATGACTACAGTTCCCACACGTTTCGATTGTTGTGATCAGACTATTGTAACTGTACGTCAACTAAAAATACAGTCTATACGAGTTGTATTTTTTAAAACCAAGCACAATACATGCTATAATTTGTTTTCATGCGTTATTGACCTCATTTGAGGAGAAAATGCACTCAGGTTCACCAGTAAATATGTGGTACTGTTGTAACAGCATTTACTAATAGGTTATAAAGTCAGATTATAAAATTCAATGTAACAAAATGGAGCAATGTACATTTGCCTTCTCCGGGCATTGGACCCACGACTCACGGCTTACTGGTCCACTACTCTACCTATCGCGGTAAGGGAAATTCTCTTTAGCAAGTCTCTAATTGTACCATTCGATGTAACTCCTCCTTCGCCTTCTAAACGTGTTTGTCCCGAACACCACTGGTTTAGTTAATCAAAACATACCATGCTACAAACAGGATGTTTTAACGAATTAATTGTGAAAGATGTTGTCATGGAAATGCAATTTTAAATACATACGAATTTTGAGGTCGATATTTTCTTCCCGAATGTCAAGTGATCGACACTCCAGCAATCTTACCGGAAGAGCTCGTCAAACTAACGTTCGGAGCGGTAAAACAATATTCCGGAATGACGTGATCAATCGAGTTAAGGTTCGATGTTCAGTTTAATTCCGTATCTGCATATCATGTATCTAAATTCCTAATGTGAAGTAGACACTGTCTAAACGTGAATACCCTTTAATTATTTAGGTGGATATCCATAACAGCGACATTTACAATATAAGCAACCAGAGGAAATCAGGACTTTTTAGTTTCATTTACTTTAATACAGAAAGTTACCAAGATTCACGAACAGGATATCAGATTCACTTTTAAGGTTTTTAAACATATCCATTTCAATCCATTTCTCGATATTTTATTTGTTTATTTTTTTTAATTACCTAATTTATTGTGTTTGTATTCAAACACAGAGGCTTTAAGAATACGAAATTTATTGGCCGCCGTGTCAGTCGTATACGTATATACCCGCCAAAGTTGGAAATCAAGAACACGACAGACTCTTCGTTATCTTTTTCATCTCGATCTTTTCCAACAACGAACCAAAAAGGACAGTTTTCCATCAAGCTGTGATAAGTTTAATTCCACTGTCGTGATTTTTCCATCTCAACAGGACAAAAATTCTCGCATCCCAAAATTATTATATGTGGCATGTCAATATTGAATCGATATTAAAGAGCCTGGTCCCAAGATCACGATTTTCGTGCGAGATGTCAGCAAAAAAACTTAGAACACAGGGTTTCGAGAGACGCATGTCGATGAATGCTATAGTTATTTTATTAAGAAATGTTCTATTTCCGGGCGTGTTTGGTGGTTGTAAGTGTTTGATGGTTGTAAGTGTTCCTGGTGTGTTTGATGGTTGTAAGTGTTCCTGGTGTGTTTGATGGTTGTAAGTATTCCTGGTGTGTTTGATGGTTGTAAGTATTCCTGGTGTGTTTGATGGTTGTAAGTGTTTGATGGTTGTAAGTGTTTGATGGTTGTAAGTGTTCCTGGTGTGTTTGATGGTTGTAAGTGTTCCTGGTGTGTTTGATGGTTGTAAGTATTCCTGGTGTGTTTATGGTTGTAAGTATTCCTCGTGTGTTTGATGGTTGTAGGTATTCCTGGTGTGCTTGATGGTTGTAAGTGTTTGATGGTTGTAAGTGTTCCTGGTGTGTTTGATGGTTGTAAGAGTTCCTGGTGTGTTTGATGGTTGTAAGTGTTCCTGGTGTGTTTGATGGTTGTAAGAGTTCCTGGTGTGTTCGATGGTTGTAATTGTTTGATGGTTGTAAGTGTTTGATGGTTGTAAGTGTTCCTGGTGTGTTTGATGGTTGTAAGTGTTCCTGGTGTGTTTGATGGTTGTAAGTGTTTGATGGTTGTAAGTGTTCCTGGTGTGTTTGATGGTTGTAAGTGTTCCTGGTGTGTTTGATGGTTGTAAGTGTTTGATGGTTGTAAGTGTTCCTGGTGTGTTTGATGGTTGTAAGTGTTCCTGGTGTGTTTGATGGTTGTAAGTATTCCTGGTGTGTTTGATGGTTGTAAGTGTTCCTGGTGTGTTTGATGGTTGTAAGTATTCCTGGTGTGTTTGATGGTTGTAAGTGTTTGATGGTTGTAAGTGTTCCTGGTGTGTTTGATGGTTGTAAGTGTTCCTGGTGTGTTTGATGGTTGTAAGTGTTCCTGGTGTGTTTGATGGTTGTAAGTGTTCCTGGTGTGTTTGATGGTTGTAAGTGTTCCTGGTGTGTTTGATGGTTGTAAGTGTTCCTGGTGTGTTTGATGGTTGTAAGTGTTCCTGGTGTGTTTGATGGTTGTAAGTGTTCCTGGTGTTTTCGATGGTTGTAAGTGTTCCTGGTGTGTTTAATGGTTGCCTGGTGTGGTTGTAAGTGTTCCTGATGTGTTTGATGGTTGTAAGTGTTCCTGGTGTGTTTGATGGTTGTAAGTGTTCCTGGTGTGTTTGATGGTTGTAAGTGTTCCTGGTGTGTTTGATGGTTGTAAGTGTTCCTGGTGTGTTTGATGGTTGTAAGTGTTTGATGGCTGTAAGAGTTTCTGGTGTGTTCGATGGTTGTAAGTGTTTGATGGTTGTAAGTGTTCCTGGTGTGTTTGATGGTTGTAAGAGTTCCTCGTGTGTTTGAGGGTTTTAAGTATTCCTGGTGTGTTTGATGGTTGTAAGTGTTCCTGGTGTGTTTGATGGTTGTAAGTGTTCCTGGTGTGTTTGATGGTTGTAAGTGTTCCTGGTGTGTTTGATGGTTGTAAGTGTTCCTGGTGTGTTTGATGGTTGTAAGTGTTCCTGGTGTGTTTGATGGTTGTAAGTGTTTGATGGTTGTAAGTGTTCCTGGTGTGTTTGATGGTTGTAAGTGTTCCTGGTGTGTTTGATGGTTGTAAGTGTTCCTGGTGTGTTTGATGGTTGTAAGTGTTCCTGGTGTGTTTGATGGTTGTGTGTTTATGGTTGTAAGTATTCCTGGTGTGCTTGATGGTTGTAAGTGTTTGATGGTTGTAAGAGTTCCTGGTGAGTTTAATGGTTGTAAGGGTTCCTGGTGTGATTGTGGTTGTAAGAGTTCATGGTGTGTTTGATGGTTGTAAGAGTTCCTCGTGTGTTTGATGGTTTTAAGTGTTCCTGGTGTGTTTGATGGTTGTAAGTGTTCCTGGTGTGTTTGATGGTTGTAAGTGTTCCTGGTGTGTTTGATGGTTGTAAGTGTGCCTGGTGTGTTTGGTGGTTGTAAGTGTGCCTGGTGTGTTTGATGGTTGTAAGTGTTTGATGGTTGTAAGTGTTTGATGGTTGTAAGTGTTCCTGGTGTGTTTGATGGTTGTAAGTGTTCCTGGTGTGTTTGATGGTTGTAAGTGTTCCTGGTGTGTTTGATGGTTGTAAGTGTTCCTGGTGTGTTTGATGGTTGTAAGTGTTCCTGGTGTGTTTGATGGTTGTAAGTGTTCCTGGTGTGTTTGATGGTTGTAAGTGTTCCTGGTGTTTTTGATGGTTGTAAGTGTTCCTGGTGTGTTTGATGGTTGTAAGTGTTCCTGGTGTGTTTGATGGTTGTAAGTGTTCCTGGTGTGTTTGATGGTTGTAAGTGTTCCTGATGTGTTTGATGGTTGTAAGTGTTCCTGGTGTGTTTGATGGTTGTAAGTGTTCCTGGTGTGTTTGATGGTTGTAAGTGTTCCTGATGTGTTTGATGGTTGTAAGTGTTCCTGGTGTGTTTGATGGTTGTAAGTGTTCCTGGTGTGTTTGATGGTTGTAAGTGTTCCTGGTGTGTTTGATGTGTTCCTGGTGTGTTTGATGGTTGTAAGTGTTCCTGGTGTGTTTGATGGTTGTAAGTGTTCCTGGTGTGTTTGATGGTTGTAAGTGTTCCTGGTGTAAGTGTTTTATGGTTGTAAGTGTTTTTGATGGTTGTAAGTGTTCCTGGTGTGTTTGATGGTTGTAAGTGTTCCTGGTGTGTTTGATGGTTGTAAGTGTGCCTGGTGTGTTTGATGGTTGTAAGTGTTCCTGGTGTGTTTGATGGTTGTAAGTGTTCCTGGTGTGTTTGATGGTTGTAAGTGTTCCTGGTGTGTTTGATGGTTGTAAGTGTTCCTGGTGTGTTTGATGGTTGTAAGTGTTCCTGGTGTTTTCGATGGTTGTAAGTGTTCCTGGTGTGTTTGATGGTTGTAAGTGTTCCTGGTGTGTTTGATGGTTGTAAGTGTTCCTGGTGTGTTTGATGGTTGTAAGTGTTCCTGGTGTGATTGATGGTTTGATGGTTGTAAGTGTTCCTGGTGTGTTTGATGGTTGTAAGTGTTCCTGTGTGTTGATGGTTGTAAGTGTTCCTGGTGTGTTTGATGGTTGTAAGTGTTCCTGTTGTGTTTGATGGTTGTAAGTGTTCCTGGTGTGTTTGATGGTTGTAAGTGTTCCTGGTGTGTTTGATGGTTGTAAGTGTTCCTGGTGTGTTTGATGGTTGTAAGTGTTCCTGGTGTGTTTGATGGTTGTAAGTGTTCCTGGTGTGTTTGATGGTTGTAAGTGTTTGATGGTTGTAAGTGTTCCTGGTGTGTTTGATGGTTGTAAGTGTTCCTGGTGTGTTTGATGGCTGTAAGTGTTCCTGGTGTGTTTGATGGTTGTAAGTATTCCTGGTGTTTTCGTGGTAGTGTGTTCGATGGTTTGTAAGTGTTCCTGGTGTGTTTGATGGTTGTAAGTGTTCCTGGTGTGTTCGATGGTTGTAAGTGTTCCTGGTGTGTTTGATGGTTGTAAGTGTTCCTGGTGTGTTTGATGGTTGTAAGTGTTCCTGGTGTGTTTGATGGTTGTAAGTGTTCCTGGTGTGTTTGATGGTTGTAAGTGTTCCTGGTGTGTTCGATGGTTGTAAGTGTTCCTGGTGTGTTTGATGGTTGTAAGTGTTCCTGGTGTGTTTGATGGTTGTAAGTGTTCCTGGTGTGTTTGATGGTTGTAAGTGTTCCTGGTGTGTTTGATGGTTGTAAGTGTTCCTGGTGTGTTTGATGGTTGTAAGTGTTCCTGGTGTGTTTGATGGTTGTAAGTGTTCCTGGTGTGTTTGATGGTTGTAAGTGTTCCTGGTGTGTTTGATGGTTGTAAGTGTTCCTGGTGTGTTTGATGGTTGTAAGTGTTCCTGGTGTGTTTGATGGTTGTAAGTGTTCCTGGTGTGTTTGATGGTTGTAAGTGTTCCTGGTGTGTTCGATGGTTGTAAGTGTTCCTGGTGTGTTCGATGGTTGTAAGTGTTCCTGGTGTGTTTGATGGTTGTAAGTGTTCCTGGTGTGTTTGATGGTTGTAAGTGTTCCTGGTGTGTTTGATGGTTGTAAGTGTTCCTGGTGTGTTTGAAGTGTTCCTGGTGTGTTTGTGGTTGTAAGTGTTCCTGGTGTGTTTGATGGTTGTAAGTGTTCCTGGTGTGTTTGATGGTTGTAAGTGTTTGATTGTTGTAAGTGTTTGATGGTTGTAAGTGTTCCTGGTGTGTTTGATGGTTGTAAGTGTTCCTGGTGTGTTTGATGGTTGTAAGTGTTCCTGGTGTGTTTGATGGTTGTAAGTGTTCCTGGTGTGTTTGATGGTTGTAAGTGTTCCTGGTGTGTTTGATGGTTGTATGTTCCTGGTGTGTTTGATGGTTGTAAGTGTTCCTGGTGTGTTTGATGGTTGTAAGTGTTCCTGGTGTGTTTGATGGTTGTAAGTGTTCCTGGTGTGTTCGATGGTTGTAAGTGTTCCTGGTGTGTTTGATGGTTGTAAGTGTTCCTGGTGTGTTTCCTGATGGTTGTAAGTGTTCCTGGTGTGTTTGATGGTTGTAAGTGTTCCTGGTGTGTTCGATGGTTGTAAGTGTTCCTGGTGTGTTCGATGGTTGTAAGTGTGCCTGGTGTGTTTGGTGGTTGTAAGTGTTCCTGGTGTGTTCGATAGTTTTATGTATTCCTTGTGATTCCGTTTTTGTTTACAGTTTTCATTTGGGAACGCGACATAACTTACTTGAATTGAAAAGATTCACATCACGGGTGTCGTCGATGAAGCAAAAGACACTTACTCTTCTAGAACACATGATCTGGATTTTTTTGTACTTTTGCAAGAATCTCTGTGTAAATCTTTCTTTAATTGTTAGTTTACCATAGTTTCATATATAAGTATTTTTTTGGTTTTGTTAATGTTATTGTTTAAACACATTGCTTAACAGACCATACCATAAAGCGATCTTGTATCATTCAACATGTATATCGTTAGGTTTTTATTTCCAGTACAGAATCTTAAGTAATCCTCTCCACTGGACTAAATTAACAGCAACCAAATTGATATACCAACCAGAAATCGGAAACCTATGTTTTGATTGACTCTTCTCTCTTGTCATAACATCCTCCGCTAGCTGTGTGTGGAGCACAATGATTTCTATTACCACTTTGCAAATTTTCCAGAAAAACCTGCTTCCACAGAAAATTTTGATATGCAACAATTTGTTCCAGATTTAGCCGATATCGTATTATACAAGTTGATCTGTCTGTCGGCCAGTTGGTTGTGTTGTTACAATCCCAGTCCTAATTGTAATAGTAATGATGCAATATAAAGTTGAAAGTGTTTGGTATTCGTTAGTATGTCTGGTGTTTCCGTTATTGCTAACTGCATTTTGAGAACATGACATTTATCGTTTGGACTGACTCACTTATACATGACTTACGGTTTCGGGGATGAAAAAGAAGACGTTGACCCCTCCAGAACACCAGGTCCTTGTCTTCAAACGCTGCTTAAAATAACCAGTGATAATTGAAAACGTTCAAATATGTGAAACGAGATTGGGAACATTCGTTATCACTCCACAGCTGCAGATTTCTGAGTGATAATTTTGTTTTGAAACTTATAATTTTGTCACCTGCGATATTTTGAATGTTTCACTTATCACTGCTTAGCTTTCAGTAACCTTTGAACAATCGAGACCCATATGTTGATTTCTCCACCTGTATTATAGTTTGACATTCTGTCCCCCTATTTGTCTGTATGACCCTCCCTCCTACAACCCCCCCCCCGCCCCCCAATAAAAAAAGTTATCGTTGACCAATCAGATGTCGTGTTACAACTTAAATAAATTATAATACAATGTTTAACAATGCAATGTCTTTGACTGTTGTAGTAAATTGTTTCCGATGGATAAAAAATGACAAAAAGAAATAAAATTCTTTCTAACATATTTATATGGTAACATTTTGATGTAGTATAACATACAGGTTACAGATATCAATTCACAACGATACTCTCTTAATTGATTAATTAATTGATGTAGACAGCATCGTAGTTAATTAAGACCTTTAATCAGAGTTAATAATTGAGTATAAATAGTTTAATGTTATGTATAACATGTCAGTATATACAAGTGATCATGTTGGTATATATGACAGAGACTGGCATTGTTTTATGGTATATAATAAAATGTAATTAAGCATTCGATGTATCGTTATTATATTAATTACTTTCTCTCATTATCCAAACTACCCGCTAGGTGTAGACATCTTCCGCCGGAATAGTTCTACTTGTCTGGTGTTGATTTAGGAATGAGCATCATGTAAGGTATGATTTCCTCAACATTCTGTACTACTAAACAAATAACTAAAACTCATCTTAAAATTTAAAAAGAAAACTCTTGATGCAGTACTACAATATTTTTCTCATTCTCACAATCAAAGTTATATAAACATTTCGTTCCTTAGACGAAAACTCTCTCATGCATTGTTCTTGTAGGTACATCACCATTAGGTAGTATCTTTCTAACCTGTTTAAACTAACGCAATATTTATTCTTAATACTTCATGATTGTGGTCGGAAGCAGTTTATGAAATCGATTTCAAATCCTGATTTACTGTTGTGTATGTTTCAATAAGTGCTAATATTCTCCATGCTAATTTCTATAATCCACCTCGGGTTATCTCTTACTCGATTAATATCACAATTCAATGTGTCTCTACACCTGTTACTATTACAATTCAAGTGTATCTCTCCTTCATTATCACAATTCACGTGTATCTCTCCATCATTATTACAATTCAAATGTATCTCTCCTTCTGTTACTATTACTATCGAAGAACTTCTATGTTACAGTATTAATGTTATCTTAATTGATTGACAACGCAAAATGAATAAAGAAATAGAAAATAAATAGATAAATACTATGTCCGTGTCAGATTATCTATTGGTTTTACGTCTTTATCGTTTCAACTGTGACGGCATAATGGCGCCAAAAAGTATCACTTGTGTGACGTCATTGCATCCCTTGTGATGAGACGTCATTAAAACATGAAGGACAAGAATGCCGATAAAAATTTTTCAATTCTGTCCGAAAATATGCTTCTACGTGTACGAAAATTGGCATTGTATCTTCGTTTTGTTAAAAAAAAATTTTCAACTCACAAATTGTACGTACCACTGTCTAATTAAAATGAAAAATACTGTAACTGTGTCATGTACATCATATCATGCAGTCATACAGAAGTACAGAAATTCAAGTTCAACAGAAGTTCAATAAGACAGTGATATTATTGGTATGTTAGATAATGTTTTAAACATTCGGTAGAACTTGCCGAACATACAGACTTGTGTCGGTACTTCATCTGATGTTAGGGACGAATATGACGATTTGTTTAAATAAAAAAGTACAAGTCTACATTAATGTTTTGTGGTATGGCTGTTTGAGATTTAAGCATTGAACTGATTTCGCTTGGCATTTATTGGTAATATAATTGTCAAGTGGATAATAAAAAAAGTGAATTAAGTAAAAGTTTCATATCAAATGTATGTATGTCCAGTTGGCATTCATACTGCCCATAAATGTCAACTAAACGCAGGTCAATGGTTATGTTTGATCTTTTTCAATTACCTGGTTACATACGGACATAAATCTCAATTTGTTAACATCGCATGCAATATTTCTGCGATGTTGACAGTTTAGGAGTTTGTAAATAAAACACAACTGACATTGCTAAGGTTACACCACACCGATGCCATTCAATGGTAAATACAGCATTATGTGTGTGTTTCAGTAATGTTTCTACTTACATACAAATAGAACATATTCAGTAACTCCTAATATCTGTTGCCAACCAGAACTTTATGATATACAAAATCCCTCGAATTTCAATAGAATAGATGTTCTTATAACACAACCAGCAGGAAAAACTGGTCGACTCCCCGCCATCCCGTACACTACGTACGCCAGTGTTAGTACACTCCACGCTGGTCATTTGTCTGATGGAGGTGACCGTGTAGATCTCATACACTACGTACGTCAGTGCTAGTACGCTCCGCATTGGTCATTTGTCTGACTGTGACATGTGACTGTGTAGTCATCGTCACACTCTAACCTTCTACTGGTTGTGGTATAAGAGCTATAAGGTGACCGTGTAGTCATCATCACACTCTAACCTTCTACTGGTTGTGGTATAAGAGCTATAAGGTGACCGTGTAGTCATCATCACACTCTAACCTTCTACTGGTTGTGGTATAAGAGCTATAAGGTGACCGTGTAGTCATCATCACACTCTAACCTTCTACTGGTTGTGGTATAAGAGCTATAAGGTGACCGTGTAGTCATCGTCACACTCTAACCTTCTACTGGTTGTGGTATAAGAGCTATAAGGTGACCGTGTAGTCATCGTCACACTCTAACCTTCTACTGGTTGTGGTATAAGAGCTATAAGGTGACCGTGTAGTCATCATCACACTCTAACCTTCTACTGGTTGTGGTATAAGAGCTATAAGGTGACCGTGTAGTCATCGTCACACTCTAACCTTCTACTGGTTGTGGTATAAGAGCTATAAGGTGACTGTGTAGTCATCATCACACTCTAACCTTCTACTGGTTGTGGTATAAGAGCTATAAGGTGACCGTGTAGTCATCATCACACTCTGATCTTCTATTGTTTGTGTTATAAGAACTTCTATTCTATTGACATTACCAACCTGAAGGAAATGTTCCGAAATACAAGTGCTTCCCTTGTATTTCATTTCGTTCTTTAAGTTATATCGTATCCCTTGGTGATGCAGAATTTAAAACTATGTAAATATTTTGGCTAATGTGCTGATAGCAGTTGGGCAGGCATGACTTGATACATGGAAGACATATTGCATTGATTGTCCTGTCTTCCTTGTGTTCCAGAATATCTATATACATAATGACATGACGTCACGCCTATCACATTACGTCACTTTTTTTAATCGGACTCTATATGCACTTCAAAACAATTTATCATCCTTTTGGTTTTCGTCTAATAATCAGTTCTCTTATCCGAGTACAATACTCCAATTTCAGTTGATGATGTAACGTCATTGTCAATATCCTTACATCACAATCGATATCTGACAGCCAATGAAAAACGCTCTAAAGAACATCATACTGGTCACATATACACGGAAATAGTACATGTGTGACTGGATCAGTAATAAGTATAGCATCTTACATCAGTTTTCATTTGAAATGAGAATTTTTGAAAGAAGTCTGAGACTTCAGTTTTGTTTTTGTTTTGTTTTATTTTTTTTTTTATTTTTTTTTTTTTTTTTTTTTTTTTTTTTTTTTTTTTTTTTTTTTTTCATTTAAGCCAACCTTTGGTGAGTATCATATGGTCACGAATTTAATACCTATTTTAGTACATGATCGACTTTTCAATATTGTAGAAAACTGTCATTTCTTGTCAAACTCTAGGTCATGCCCGCTCTATATCTATGGTTTCCGTTGTTACATCACAATGTCATGTGAATGTGACGTCACAATAATCTATATTTCACCTATTATATGCAAAAATTAAGAAGGCAATCACGTGACAAAATTATACAGATTTTAAATGATTCACCGTGGATAGATTATCTAGGAAATTAATACATAAACGATTTTACTATGTCGAATATTTTGTTTAAATGGAACAAAAAGTATTGTCAGGAAAAAGATTGCAACCAATAAACCATCATGATATTAAAACGTGAAAATGACGTAATGTGAAAGACTTGTGACGTCATTATACAATAATTATATCACACCAATATTCGGCCCACTTTCCTTTTCCGGAATATGATAATCTGAAACACACCATGACAATTAAGACTGATAAATTAGTGCTCATCGTGCTGTCATTGTTATCACGAATTTGTGTTGATTGCTGTCCAAACTAACGTGACTGTATTGTGTTGACGATATCAGTTGAAATCAAACATCGGTATGCGTATTTCTATCATCCAGTGCTTCAAATCCAATTAACTGAGGCGTACCATATGTAAACTGAAATTAGATAAAAAAAAAAGACAATCATCATATTATTTACCCTGCCATCTGATATGTCTGTCCTAGCACTACAAGTATTGATCTCCGACTGTATAAGTCTAACTGTTATTTTCCAGATATACACTTTTGTCATATTTTAACACATAGTATTAAAGTTGATTCATAACACATGTCACACATGATACAGTTTGTTAGGATCCAGTACCAATATTGGACCATACCGTGGATATTAATTACTAGATTCTGTCATTCAATATAAACATATATATATAACTTATCCATGTGACGATGAATAAGGAAAGGATCCACGTAGTCAGTTGTATATATATACCTTGATATTACTCACGAACTGATCAGCTTTCCCTTTCCTACTTCTGATACCTTTTTCAATCAGATACAATACATACAGTCTTATCAGGTAAACTCGCTCTTAACCCTATAGTAAATCGCACACTGTAGATGTTTTTAATTCAGTGTTTAGTGATAGGATATCAATTAAATCTACCTCTCCATTACCCTTAGTTGGCCAATATCACCATTTTTTAGATTATTGAACAAACTTCAGTTTTCTATGCCTTAGTTCACACCGCTGATATTTTATTTGATTTTTAGTTATAAAGACTTACCGTTCTTACACTTTTGTCCTGGGAGAAATCAGCTGGATAATGAGGAGGAGGGGCGGCATATTCATTGACGTCACCATTTTCGCGTTCTGAAGGTGTGTCTATGAGTGACGTAGCCGTTTCTGTACCTTTCATGTAGGCAGGCTGTGAATAAGATAGAACATGACACTTATCAGTCAGTGAGCTTTATTGTTTTTTTTATCCTCGATGCCCTCGGGGTTACGCTCTCTATCGCTCCCTAAAGGGATTTCGCTCACTATCGCTCCTACCGGGGTTACACTCACTATCACTCACTACACGTGTACGCTCACTTTTGCTCCAAACAAGGTTAAGCTCATTATCGCTCCCTACAAGGGAACGCCCACTATAGCTCCCTTCGCTTAATTTTGCTCTCTACAAATGTAAGCGCAATATCGCTCTTGGCGGAGGTACGCTCACTATCACCCCATACAGGGGAACACTCACTATCGTCCCTACAGGGGTACGCTCACTATCGCCCCAATTAGGGTACGCTCACTATCGTCCCTACAGGGGAACGATCACTATCACTCCCTACAGGGGAACGCTCACTATCGCTCACTACAGGGGAACGCTCACTAGCGCTAACTACAGGGGGACGCTCCCTATCGTCCCTACAGGGGAACGCTCACTATCACTCCCTACAGGGGAACGCTCACTATCGCCCCAATAAGGGTACGCTCAATATAGCGTAATAATAATAATTAATATAATTTCTTAATATGACAGAAAACCAATACCTTTGGAACAAGGCGAAGTCTTTTCATGCCAAACTCTATGGCTCCTAAGATGACGGCGCTAACTAATCCGCCAATCAGAATATAGAATACTCCGGCTACGTTGCTAAGTGACAGCGACTTCTTCCCAGACGATCCCTGTAATTAATTAATACTACGTCCATTAAAACATACTCACCAAGATCATGTTTATATAGGTACCACGGAAGAGTTGACATTAAAAGTAAGTTGCTTATATTTTACCATTATTTCAACCATTTTGTTTTTCTGTCACCACAACTTCAATACTTATGTTACAAATCAATTATTACACAGATGTAAACAGAATATTTCTATTGCTTTACTACTATTTAAATATCGCGTTTTCAGAAGCGATTCTGAAATTAGCTTACAATATTTCGGTCAAAATTCCTGCTTTATTAGACTCCCAATACGATACTGGAAAATACAATTATAGTTGAAAGGTTAAGGTTTTGAAGTTCTGCTAAACCTAGAAACTTCCATATTGCGATATTAAACATGACCGAACGAAAGAAATATTAGTTTACCTTGCTCTCACTTAGAGATCGTCACATTATACGTATAGATATACGTATATATGGCATAGTTTATATCAGTGTTATGAAAAAAAGACAACATGATTGCCTATTCACCATACCAAAAGTGTATCTCCTTAAACTAATTCAAAGACCCGTAAATCTTGCCTTTTTTTACTTATGCCCACAATTTATCGATTTTAAGTCGAAATAACGGCTTTCTGAAGTTGTCACTATTGTCATTTTCCTATATGTTGTCACAAATACGTATTATTACATAATGTATGACACTTCAGAAATAGCGATTATGTCCCTTAGACCGGAAGTATTACACTGACACGGACTGGTATACTGTATTTCCTCGGCAACAACAAAAAGTTGTCACTTAGACCAGGAATGTTCAGCAACATCAAAAAGAAGAGAAATAAGATTGATCTAAAGTTATGAATTTCTCATTTAAGTACAACTATAGTGCATGCTACATGCGTTCTCATTCTGCAAACAAACAATGCATAGAGAATTAATTGTAGGGACCATTCTAATTTAATAATAATAAAATTTATTTATTTTACAAGGTTTTCCAACTTATATAAATCACTCTTGTTGGCTCGGATGGAAGTATCCATAATACTTCTTCGTTTCATTAGAATTTTTATTTTTTCATTTTTTTGATTGCCAAAAGAATTATAGCCAAATCTATTCATACTTCTCAATACTTAAGAGACGACACAACGTCCTGCAGAAATCGAGATTCTCTCTTACCGACACCCCACCGATAGTGACCTACCTTGTTACCGTCTTGAGTACACTGAAGCATCTCTTACACACACACCACCGATAGTGACCTACCTTGTTACCGTCTCTTACCCACACACCACCGATAGTGACCTACCTTGTTACCGTCTCTTACCCACATCCTACCGATAGTGACCTACCTTGTTACCGTCCTGAGTACACTGAAGAATCTCTTACCCACACCCCACCGATAGTGACCTACCTTGTTACCGTCTCTTACCGACACTCCACCGATAGTGACCTACCTTGTTACCGTCTCTTACCGTCTCTTACCGACACTCCACCGATAGTGACCTACCTTGTTACCGTCTCTTACCCACACCCCACCGATAGTGACCTACCTTGTTACCGTCTCTTACCCACACCCCACCGATAGTGACCTACCTTGTTACCGTCTCTTACCCACACCCCACCGATAGTACACCTTGTTACCGTCTCTTACCCACACCCCACCTTGTTATCTCTTACCCACACCCCACCGTAGTGACCTACCTTGTTACCGTCTCTTACCCACTACACAGGGTTAGTGACGTTCGTTGTTACGTTCTCTTACCCACACCCCACCGATAGTGACCTACCTTGTTACCGTCTCTTACCCACACCCCACCGATAGTGACCTACCTTGTTACCGTCTCTTACCCACACCCCACCGATAGTGACCTACCTTGTTACCGTCTCTTACCCACACCCCACCGATAGTGACCTACCTTGTTACCGTCTCTTACCCACACCCCACCGATAGTGACCTACCTTGTTACCGTCTCTTACCCACACCCCACCGATAGTGACCTACCTTGTTACCGTCCTGAGTACATTGTAGAATCTCTTACCCACACCCCACCGATAGTGACCTACCTTGTTACCGTCTCTTACGGACACCCACCGATAGTGACCTACCTTGTTACCGTCCTGAGTACACTGTAGAAACTCTTACCGACACCCCACCGATAGTGACCTACCTTGTTACCGTCATGAGTACACTGTAGAATCTCTTACCCACACCCCACCGATAGTGACCTACCTTGTTACCGTCCTGAGTACACTGAAGCATCTCTTACCGACATCCCACCGATAGTGACCTACCTTGTTACCGTCTTGAGTACACTGAAGCACCGATAGTGACCTACCTTGTTACCGTCCTGAGTACACTGACTCTTGTCCTGCCACCACTTTTGTTGTAGTTTGTGCAAGAAACCATTTTCTTTCATTGTCAACACTTTTAAATTGACATCATCCCTGAAATCAATAAATGACCAAACAGGGTGCAGTATACGGATATTAACTTCAGTAGTTTTACAGTAAAACGTGAAATACACGAACTAAGCAAATGCATTACAAATACAAATTTGAATCTACTGTTGAAGTTATTTAAAACAAATTTAAGCATTACAATTTTCATCATTTGATATACGAATTAATCACACATTTATCTAAAACTTACGAATATAAGTCACTAGATCTCTTCTGATTAAAATACAATATACATGTAAATATTCGCACGAATGTTTATCTAAGAACAGAGTATGTAACAAATACTATAAAAATGTTTCTCTTTTCGATGGTTCGAATTTCTGCGGATCACAAAAAGTTTCAACCAAAACCCATTTTTCAAAGATTATTTTTGCATGTTCAAGGTATCTTTTTTACGCGATTTTAAAATAGTGAAAAATTGAACCTCTCGAAAATAAAAGCCTCGACAGTAACTTTGAAGGAGACATGAAAGGACTCAGATACAACATTTTACAACCATTCGAATAAAACATTAGTACCTACAGCACCTTCAATGACAATAATATTTGCGAAGTGATTTTTTTTTAGATTTAACATTCAATTTATAAAGCTAACTGATAAACATAATTCACACACATATATATGCATATGTTTATCAAACATTTCAATAAAACATGTCTTTTTCTCATACTGCACTAAATACACATGTATAAGACAAGATGGTTGTATACACATAAAACATGAAATGTTCAAGGCCCTTATTAGGATGGAATATCATGTAAAATCATTTCTCTAGATCATTTTTGTGCATAGACATAGATCTTACATGGAATCTAGTTAATATATTCAAAAAAACAACCAACCATTATTTCTTTCTTATAAATTAAAACTTTTTCATACGAAAATTGTTTCTGAAGACAAAACTATTGTCCTAACCGACCACCATCGGTCTATTTAATATCGACAACGATCCAAGACCCACGATATCCAAAATGATAACAGCTGATGAATTCATCGTTGCATCACTGCTAAAAATGTCTTAGAAACGATTTGAACAATTGTTGAAAGTTCACAGCATTTCTGGATCTGAAATAATCGTTTTTTCGCCAATCTTTCATACTTTATCTGTTTGATGTCAAAGTACTCATGATATAAGATGGCTTCGATGAACACATAGATAATACTACTTAACATAAAGGTACATGCAATATACACTTGTAGGTATAGTAGGTATAGTATAGTTCCGGTATTTTAAAAAGTTCACAAACAGTGCACATGTTTTGATTCTGGGAACATAAAGAGAATTCGTTAGTATAGACTGGTTTGTACTTTTTCTGCTTGTTGTTGATAAATGAGATATAACGTTTACCAACTGTGTAACTATTACACATTTCAATATATGTACATAATCTACACACACGGTCACAAGGGTCGGTAATAAGTTTTATTTAAGTACATTTCTTCTCATCATTCCTGTTTTTTGTATACGAGCGGCCGATAAAGATTAAATAGAAGACTGATGTAATCAATGAACTGACTTAATACTAAAATATCATGTTCTTTTAGAGTCTTTTGTCATTCTTGTCACGCAGTCTATTTCTTTGTTTTATTCAAACATGATAAAATTGAGTAAAATAAGATTAGCAAATTTATTGAAGCCACAAGGAAAATATCGACTTTTCCACAGAATCTTAATTCAAATTCTAAATCAACGAAGCTTGGAGGAAGCATGATATCTTCACAAGATTATTTTTAATATAACGGCGAAAATGGATGTGCTACTGAGTATCTCACAAACCATTCATGTTAAAAACAACGAAAACAACCGATACCAGTGTCAAACAGTCAGAGCAAATTAAAATGCGACATCTTGGAATTATGGATCTAGACAAGTTAATTAAACACCAAACGAACAACACACAGTACATGCTGTTCCTTTCGTATGGTTTTTGTTTATTTATTACCTTCATCGCTTACAGTGCAAATGATTATAAAGTGCGGAACGAAATAAAACATATTTTCAAATCAAGAAATGCTGCAAACTTTAAACTTGATCAGTAAAATACGTTGATGTATAAGCTTCAAATAGCCGCTTCATTCTACTTAAGAAACCATTATTTCTTATAATAAAAACAATATCTAGGTGCCTTGTTAACAGTGATGTGACAATGAGAAACACATCTACAGACAAATGAAAATATTTCATGCGAAATTGAAAAGATATATATTAACTATGATCTATGTGAATCAGTCCATGCACAAACAATGTTCTAGTACCAAGAAATGACTTACCAACCACCATGATAAGGTTTGTCCACTCAGCGAAACAACCGTTACACCCGATTCCGATCATGAATATCGATATTGTCACAATGAATACAACTATTACAATTTACACTAATCACAATAGAAAAGATCCACAGTGCTGAATTTTTTTTCGCAGATCATAACAAAAACGTTTCAAAAAAATTAAAAAAACCAAAAATATTCGCGTTAGTGATATCCCAGAATTCCTTAGTGAGAACACGTACCTAATGATATCCCAGAATTCCTAAGTGAGAACACGTACCTAGTGATATCCCAGAATTCCTAAGTGAGAACACGTACCTAATGATATCCCAGAATTCCTAAGTGAGAACACGTACCTCAGATAATAATCGTTTGGAGTAGCTATCCCAAACCCTTTAGAATTGAGATTTCTGCCCACTCTCATAGTGTCGCACGGTTCGCGACTGTTGATGTATTCGTTGCCGGAAGACTCCATTAAAAATGCATATTTTCCTTTTGAATTTCGGACCCGCTCAATTCCTGCAGCCATATCTCCCACCATTACAGAAGGATGAGTCGACATGAAGCGCCACAGGCTCTCATATATAGGCACTTTTGATGTCTGGTAATTTAAATGGATTATCCTTAATAAAAGTTCTTTTTTATTTCTGTTTTTTCAAAGATTGACAGTTAAACAATATGAACCTTATATATTCAAATGGCAAGTATTTTTGCCCTTTTCAGTTATAATTCAAGTATAGTATAGTATAGTATAGTTTAATTTAATATAGTATACTGAGTTAAGCATAGTAACATACATCAATGACTGATAACATTATTTGTTACATTACTTTCAATACTGAACAGTTCACGAATGAATATATATCATATGTACTAACGTTTCTCTTCATTGATAAAACAATCTCATTAAAAGACTGGATAGTCTGCGGTGTTTTGATGTGCTATTTATTTTCTTTAATATTAGCGTACAAATAAAGGGGAGGTAACTACGGGAAACAATTTTGTATATACCATTTAGATCAACACCAATCGCGAGAGAAACAAAATCTGCAATATGTCATTTTTTTCTAAAATCAAATTTTATATTCAAATTGTTTGGCAATTGTCATTTTACACGAATATTTTCTCACCATTATCATCGATCTACCGTTGAAACATAAGCCTTCCAATCTTGCCTATTTATAATGAAAAATACTTCCGACAATACGTGTATCATATATATCCCTGATAACATTTCAGACATCTGAAATAATTTCGGAATAAATTTGCTGATTTCAGAATCACGGCTTAAATTTGTAAATAAACTTGTCTGTACGGTTTGACATTCCAGTAATTTGTTACAGTGTATTTTCCTGTCAGTAACTGGTTAGTGTGGTAGATTGGTAAAAACAGCGATATTTTTTTAAGTTGCCACACTGCATAAGGTTACACTATGCCATGTGTGTGCAGCATTGTAACCAGACGGTAATTATGTAGTCACATATGTCGGCACGATGACTGATGTGTGTAATTATTGATTTTGTCTTGTATTTTGTGTTATGTAATTGCTTGATGTGTTTATGTCTGACGAAATTGCGGGTTGTCCTAGCCATGTGATATTTTCCGTCTTTGCTGTCGTCGAGGGTTGTATAAAGTATCGACAAATAAATATACAGAGTCCGTATCATAGTCATAATTGAAAATTAATAATACATATTATGAATTAATGATAAACAAAGGTTATTGGTGTTTTTCCAAAGGGACTACAAATTGTTGTAATAGTTACCTCCCCTTTACAGGAAGGAATTTTCTGAACTGAGCTGACAGTGGAGGAGCGGTTAGCATGGTATTGACTGAGATAACACTGAATCCGGAAGGATCGCTTTTCTGTGTTATTGTCTGATTTGCATAACAAATTATCAGTGTAATGCAAATCTAATCACAGGCAATACAAAATCGTGTACGGAAAAATAAGCAGATTACTTCTTCAGTAATTTACCTCGAAAAATTTCCTCGTGGTCCCAGAGGAAATAGTTCCGTACTTGATTTCTGTCTGTTTCGCGAGATCATCAGCAGACTCAATGGGTGCTACCATTCTCTCAACCGTCAAAAACGCAGCCAGATTAGCGGTGTATGTCGATATTATTATCAAGACGAAAAACCACCAAACTGTTCCAATTATCCGTCCAGAAATGGACCTGGACAGAATCAAGTTTTTTTTCAACATAGACAGAATTGATATATACTCCCTGAAACAAGAGTTGCTGAGAAACTGACATAAACATATCTTATATCTCTACTAGTTGTCAACAATTCACAATAATTTACTAAATAGGAGCTAATTTTCTTATGAAACTAATGGAAAAAAGTCCGAATTTTATCATTTACCTGTTTATCTACGGATGATTGACAGTTACATGACAACCACTTCTGGTGAACTTACCGCGGACATGTATCGCTTCCTTGTAACATAAGTGCTCCGGTGGAAAACCAAAACGAGTTTAAAATAGAGAACTCGTTTTCGTATTCTCCTTTTAATGCTGCAACTTTCTTCCATTCATAAGGACTGCATCTGCTGACGAGGAACAGCCCGACACTTACAGCAGCGTAGGCTACCAGAATACAAATCCATATACCAAGTTCAAGGGGCTGCATAAAGGAAAATACCCCCGGCTTCTCAATATCAGGCTTTTTTATCATGATACTTATGCCTATGTTCATGAATGGCTTCGTGAAATCCACGTCTTTTTCCCGTTCAAAAGTGATGGTCAGAGGAGCTATCGCGAGATCTGCTTTCTGTAAAAAAAAAAAGGTTCTTAATATTCAATAACTGGATTAAATTCCAACATCGGTTCCGTAATTTCCATGAAATTTCTAGTGACTTTGTCAATTACTAATTCAAACACGAAATATATAATCTCTTATTATTAAGACACAAAGCTGTGCTGTTATAGGTTTTTTTAATGGCATTGGCATACTCTACTTACAGATCCTTGGTATAAACATGACGTACACAGGATTACATACCCTGTTCACAAGTTGCCCTATCATTCCATTCCACGAACCATTAACCTTGATACCATAAGCGTTATCAGGTACCTCCTCCAATGTAAAATTAAAACCGAGCAAATCCGCTAACCTGTTCGCCATATCTACAGCATAACCTATTGAATAGAAATTTCAATATAATTTCACTGACGTTTAACGTTCAAAAGACACACAAGTGAATAAAAACATTGCATCTTTTTTACAAACTTAGAAAATTAAATCTTAATTTGACAATCCACGTGAGTTATACCTGAAATGATATGAAGTGCCATTCAGATCAATGTTAGTTATACATGTATTTCCTTTTATGGTAATTAGTACGCCGTGAAAAGATCGTGTAGATTGTGCTACAAGTATATATGTACAGTTTCAGTACATCGTCCATAACTATAATGTATAATTTGAGACTGTGACTCCGCTATCACGTGACCACTATAGTGACGTCATCGAATGCATTGAGTTCAAACAAATGACACGGACTTTAACACATACCACAATCTATTAAGTAGATCAGGTATACCTACCGACATTCGCGATTTCGTATCATATATGTAGTTCACTGCGATAAATTCTCCACTAATTTCTACGAAACAGACTATATCATACAGTGTTACACCATCATCGTTATCGATTTTTCCTGTCTGTATCAGCGACAATCAACTTTCATTCAAAAACAGGTTATATTTCCATTGTCTTCATAAATGGAAAATAATTTTCGCGGTTGTTTTTATCGCGAAATTTGCGAGTCGGTTTTAGGCATTTACAGTTAATTGGACTGTAACACCATTTGCTAGAATACTCATTGTTTAAGTAAATGTATATAAGTACAAACATGTCTTAAGCATTCTTACAGATTCCACTCTCTAATGATTAAGCTGACAAATTTAGTCAATTGTATCGGATGCGATGTATCATCTCGTGTTTAGATCAATACTCAAGCTTCGTTTTTCATATTGTTAACATTTTAATGCTTTCATAGGACAAGAATAGAAACCAACACTCCATGAATCTAAGTTAGGTGTACTTAAATGGTAAACACCATACCTATATATCTGTCATTTCCTATTAAAGGTATGCCATCTTTGCTTTCCTTCAGCATTAAAAACGGTTGAGACTTTAAAGAAAGAAATATGTGTTAATACATATCACTTTTGATACCAATATTTCAAACAATGTTATACAGAGACATTTTAAAGTCACAAGGGAAACATCACTGTTTTTACATTTTACGTTTTACATTTCAAAATCAACCCATATTCCAATCCACTAGAACATTTGATAATTCGATTGTAATGATGACTTGAGAGGAGACAGAAGCAGAGATGTGTATATCTTTAAGATGAAATTAAAGCTGAGTAATTACCAGTATAGTGGTGATGATTTTGACCTTTGAGTGACTGACAGGACGGAGATCTGGCGGTTCTTGGTCTGGAGTTCGGTAACCATATTCCGGTGTCCAGACACCTATCCGGACGGGGCCATGGTCTTGCCCTACTGTACTTACGTTAAGAGTATAGTTGCGTCGGAATCCCTCAAAATCAAATGATATGTGTCCTGTTAGACCTTCAAATTCTGCCTGCAATCAATAAAGCACGCGCATCTTATTCATCAAAGCAGGAATGAATATTCTGAATTTCCTTCTGTTCGTTTTTTGGAAGATTGATCAAAAGTGAGCAGTATTTTGAATGTGAATTCCAAATCAACTCTTCTTTATTCCGGTATAAACAAATCCTGTAACACGTGATCGAAATAAAAGATGCTGGTTGAGACTGGCTTCAAAACGTAATGTTAAAATTGTATTAATCTTTAGAAGGTATTTTGATGTATGGTTATATTGATGAGTAATGAATGTCGTTCCGTGGCCTTATAATAATTAGCTAAGTCATTTAATGTTATGCTTATTTAAAAATTAGATTGAAATCTTAAAATAAACTGTTAAATGACCTTTGGGTATATTTTGGAAAGTGTTTACAGTGCAGAATTCTTGCAGTACTAAAAACGATTGATTTGTTCCGAGTCGGACTGCTGGTTTGTAGTATACACTTAGATTACTGCAGTTAAATTGAATTTTTCCTTACGTCTCTGAAATTCGTATCGCGAATTTAATATTGCAGCATGGCTTTGTATTCAAGGAGTTATTTCTCGCAAGTAAACAGTTCCACAGCTGCAGACAAGTCACCTATAGTTACACTTTAGTTCTAATTAAATTTATGCATTCTCTGTACATTTGGTGTATCATTATAGCAATTAGAGAGCGTGAAACAGATAATTAGAATCGTTGAGGGCAATTAACCCTTCATTAAGACTACACTTAGGCTCCTCAAATATCGTTTGTATCCTTCAGCGCCATAGGATATGCAATTGTTCCAAACCTGTTTTAGGAAATGTGTGATGTTTTCGCCATGCATCCAGGGAATCGGTGGAGGGTCGTTCATCTGTAGTCGATTACAGGGTATGCCCTCTTTACTGTAATTGCTGTTATATACTTTTCCACGCCGAAAATTGGGTTGGAAGACAAGCTGATTGTGTTTCAACATCCGGGAAAATGTGTCGACTATCAGTCGTAGAGCATCAACGGCCATAGCCGATTCCGCCTTCAAGGCAATTTAGGAAATTGAATAAGCATGATCTAATAATATGAGAACGTCGGAATTTCGTCAAATATTCTAACTTATATTGAATACATATTAGTTTGAAATGATTAATCTTATAAAGAATTATATGATTTATCTTGATATGCGATATTATACATCCATGCATCCTACTACTTTGTCATACTAGAGTATGTAACATATGTATTTCTTTTCCTCTATTTTGATTGGACAAGAGATCGTCACGTGCAAATCGATATATAGCATACATGTTTGAATCTCATGTTTCTAATTCTAAAACAGAAAATAAAAAATAATATGGACCCCGAAAATATGATAAACATGTCGTTAAAGATAATTTGTAATATTGTAAAATCGTAATCAAGAGTGTAACATTAAATGTTTGCAAACTATTAGAATGTGTATTAAAGCATTTAAAAATAACATCGATTCGCCAACATTTCCTCTTAACATGTAAATGTATTGAATAAACCTTAGTGAAACATGGTTCTGTCAAGATCTTTAAATTAGCTTTATCAAGTATTTCTATGCACTTTTTCGCCAAACATGATAAACATCTTTAATTTCAAAACCATTGTGAAGCTATTTATATCAACTTATACTAAACACTGATATTAGCTGGAAGGGAAATGTAATGAGCGTTCACCGTGAAAAGAATTGAAGGAACCGAGAACACTTATAGCCGTGAACGTGACGCCAAATAAACTGTTTCGTTTAATATTTACACAATATAACCATGATTATAGAAAGCCAATAAATTTTCTAAAGTCGGACACGAATTTTTTTGTCAATGTGAAGCGAGTGAGTTGATTTCCACTGAAATACTTTCGTCCATAACTAACAACTTACAGTAAGTGGGGTACCAGCTCCAGCATATTCAGTTTTTTTCGCACTCATCCAGTGCTGATTGAATTTCCTGATTTCTTCATTATCTTCCGATACTAGGTCAAATCCGGTTAGATTCACACCGCCATGCAAAAATCTTTGAAAGTCGAGTTTGGAGAAATCCTACAACAAAGGGATGTAGGACAAATCAACAAAGTTAAATGTCCTGTAAACACATAATATTTTGAATATCAATTAAGTTGAAATATAACAAAAAGAAAACACTGACATATCAACAAAATCAAGTATAACTTTTCTCATAACTGTTCATAACATTTGTTATCTCCGTAGGGGTTTCCAAATATAATTTGTGATACCGATTAATAACTTTCGAACCAACTTGACCCGAAATAGAATGTTTATTATGTAAGCCTTTGTTGTTCCTTACATAAGTAAGCATTTTTGCGTATTTTGATATTATAAGTGTAGATGATGTCCTGGAAACATACATACCAGTGTTGCCAGCAGATAAAAATAGCTGTGCTTGTTCATCCCTACCTCAGCAATCTATGAAAAGTTAAAAAAAAAAAAAAAAAGACATATTATTTATTGGTGTTATATAGAAGTCCTGGACAATAAAGATGATTTGAAACAGTCTTATTCAACTCGAACCTACTTATGTGTTATAATATATTGTTCATTGGTGATTTTGTATTCTGTAACCATGATCTTGTTGTGTGTTATTATTGCATATATACCGTACAATTCTTCACCAATACATATAGCAAACTAGGAAACCATCTACCACATAAGATGTATGTAACCCAATATATCCTATATTCATCATGCATTGGCTTATAATAGATTTATACACTCCATGTTCTATTCAACTGTAATTTGTACATGTATTAAAAGGTGCTGTTCACTTGTGTGTCTTTTGAACATTAATCACAGCCTTTCCCTGTGGTTGCTTACTTACAAGGATATTGATAAAATGTATGTATATACAAACCACATGTTATATACAAATCAGTAAAGTTAGTAATTAGTTATATGAAGTCTTTATGTCTTTATGTGTTAAAAATATATATAGCGATTTTTAGTTTTGCTTTTATTTCATATTTCCTGACTGAAGATTAATAATACCAGGTAGCTACACGGGTTAAACCTTTATGTAACTTGTGTGGTTGATATGTACTCATACTATTATATCTATTTTATAGTGTCTACGTTCAAACGAAAAGAAAGGAAAACGAATGGCCATTGAGTAACCGAAATCGATGTATATCTTCTGGAGATATTGTGGTAACTTGTAGCCCTGGGAGTTTGAGCATTGAACGATATAAAACGACAAAAACAAAAGTAGAATTACTTTAATTATATTCATACTACTGAGGCGTTTCCATCCTACTTTTCAAAATTCCGTCTCCGGCGGAAATTAGTGTTTTCAAAAATACATAAAAGCACAAGGAAACTCATATCTATTTGCCAGTTTATTTTTATATGTACAGAGATGTTTTTGTCAGGTCTCAAGATCAAATGACTGCACAAATGACACGCGAGTAATGGACATTACAACACGACACGAAACTATTGAAACTTTTGTAACTATCCACTGAATCTTAACAACTTTATTTAAAGTATTCCTTCTTTATATATATATATTTTTGACCCATTTTTATTCTTTGTAGTGGCTTCCTAGGTTTTAAGACACCATTAAGGGTTTTATTATTACTGTATGTCATATTTCACAGGTTGCCCAGCAACAAACTTTTTTACAGGAATGATGAAAGTTTAATTTTGTCAGACCCACTGTTTTCTAAAGCCATATTACCATTAGAAGTATAAAAGTGTCGCATATGGATATATATATATATATATATATATTAAATTCCTTACCTGTTTTAAAAGGGATTCATACGCCTGTTGCGACGTAAGATCCAATACAATAGCTTTTTCTGGATGATCTTTGATGAACCTGTCCAGGTGTTTTAACTCCTCGTGAGCGTGATGTACGTCATTAAGGCGACGGAATCCGATTTTTAAACCTCTTACTTTTTCAGATTGATAAATTTGTTGAAGCCGCTGCAGACCTGTCAAAATTATTGTTCAACAAGATATTATCATTTAAGTTTTATCATCATTTTCATACTTTTGAAAGCATTTTTATTCACACTTTGTTTTACAGACATATCGAGATGAGATAAATTATATACAGAATTAAAGCATACAGCTAATTCAAGGTAAGTAAAGAATCATTTTGCTGAAAAAAATCAGGTATCAAGTATGTTACCAATTGAAGCTAAACTTATATCTCCTTCTAGAGAATTCGAAACATATATTCATTTTGCATTAAAGTCACTTTGAGGAAAACGAGAAATATTTAAAAGCTTGATAGAACGATTTGTAACCATGGCTATAGGTGACAGAGCTTTCGTTCCTGTCATCACAGGGATTCTGAACCCTTCACGTACGGTATTTTGTACAATAAATTATATCTGATTTGATAGATCTCCCAGTCAGTAATTCAATAATATAATTAAATCAAGAACAAAAGCTATCGTTATGTTCCCTTGAAGTGTTGATCTTTTGATCAATTCGCGGTGATTACCACGGACACACCCCTACCGTTTCCACCAATCTTCCCTCCCTAATGGAATTTACCATATTCAATATTGGATTAGACCCTGTAAATAGTTATATGGGAAGAATACGAGTATAAGACAAGATGGACGATGGCCTTGACAGCGAAAGACTTTATAGGTCAAATAAATTCGATAAATCAGAAACAAATTAACATTTACAGCCAATCCCGTATACAATTAATCATTGCTGCGTTCCAAAATGACTTTGACATATACCGGTATAAACTATACAGAAATCAAATGTGCTGGTTGGTTGAACTTTAGAATATAAGATATATAAGAAATTGAGATATGAAAGGTACACTAAGTCGACATATTGAAGCAGATAAATTAGAATGATAAAATCCGGATAACAATATACCTTCATCCGAGTCGTAAAGGAAATGTACAGCTTTCCATTTATAAAATCGGATCATGTCTACAATGGCCATGGTGTAAGAAGGCTTCATGTGAAGTTGGAATGGTGCATCGAATCTGGTCACCACACGAGACAGACTCGGGGATATGTAAGGCATATGAAACCGTCGTGTATAGGATTCCACTATGTCCATCGAGTTGATGTCCTTCATCCCATAGAACAGAAACACGCCACTTGACATCTGAGTGCAAACTTAAGAAAAAAGAGAATCACAACATAACAACAAATCTGGAATTGTAGTCAACGTCGAAAAAAGTGTATGATACTCAATAGGTTGTAATTAGCGACATTTCTAACATTTTTTTGCTACTTTTAGTGAATCAATAAATTACGTAAAATAGTTTACATTGAAAATTTCAATATATAGAGAATTTCATACTTCATTTAATTAATTTCGTAGAAAAAATATGTTATTTTTTACTCGACTTGTTTTAAACGTTTGGTAAAACCACAAATATATAATAACGATTTTCACAATCTCCCAAGAAGTTACATTACTGTTCTGCACGTGTAACAATATTAATATGCTAGTAATTTGTCCGGTACGTAATACAATAATGTATTTTAGAAAATTCGTTAAAAATAAAGTAAGATGTTAGGTGCCTTTGGCAAGTAAATATTGAAGAACAAGACAATGAAAAAATTGTAACAATAATAGCGTTATTTCGAGAAGAGACCGAAGAAGGGAAGTCCGATGAAACCAGACTTTACAAACAGTGTCAATATAAATTCAATAGATGGGTTCAAAGACAGACAGTGTTTCAATAAACTGTACCAGACTGCAGACAAAGTTGGCCACGGCTTTCCTTGACTGTTTTTTGTGTACCTAAATGGAGAGTATATCAGCCAAAATATCATTAGTCGCGCGCTTGAGAAATGTTATGTGCTTGCTAAAGCTGAACACGCTGTCTCGCGCCAACAAATAGGTAATATCAAACAGCGAGAATGTCCGTCTAGCCAATATCGTAAACTGTAGCCCCCGCCTTAAGGAATATTGGCTATTTCCGGATAACGACGTGCAACCCTTGGATTGTTAAATGGTATTGGTGACTGACTGATAGTTTTTATTTTCTCTTGATATACGTTTTTACTCACAATCATAACACTTATCAACTGAAAAAAAGAACGGAAAACGCCAGTTTAGATTTTATAATTATCATTGTTGAATATGGTTATTCTGTCCTGTAATATTGATGCTGTGATATTATATGACCTGGTTTGCTGATGTATTTGTAATTGCTCGCTGACGTTTTTTCTTGTTTCGACCAAAGAGGTGAGTGTTTCAGATTAGTCTATTTCCTATCGACGTTCTGTGGCATTTTGTTATTGCGCGCTGACGTTTTGGCGTGTTTCAAACTAGGAAGTTGGTGTTTCAGATATGTCTTCTTGGCGTTTTGGTATATCTTGTTCTTGTAATTTTGTGTTGAGATGTATATCGGACTTTCGTATTAATATTATGGCGTATTTTATTATCTAGAATCATTGTTATGGTGTATTTTTTTGTCGTGTGCCTTAATGTAATCATGTATTTTGTTCTGATATCGGTTTGCTTCATCCTTGAAGGTGGTTGTTGTCATGTGTTTTCTTGCTAAAGTGTTTTAATTTTATGACGAATTTGATTTTTGCATTTCGTTGATGTGTACCATCCGTCCTCATGATTTAGTTTACATGTATTGTTTAAGATGTGGACGTTAAGACTCATCAAGTTTGGATGTACTGTACACGGTTTCTCTATGGCTTTGATGACGCTGAAGTACCATTTCGTCTAGGACGCTTTAACCAATGTCGATACTGTTTTATAAATATGAATGTCTGTTTTTGTTATATTGAAAACCACGGTTTTTGTCTTCACATCAATAATTTTCAACTGAATAAGGAAGTTTAAAATGAACATTAACGAAAGACGTAAAAAGACAGTTATCCTGTGTTTTGGACTGATTTGCTCATTTTACTGGTAAATCTAAGGTATTCTCATGTACAAGAAATGTTTCAATACAATTGTTAATTGTGAATTTAATCATTTGTATTGTGATCACATACATTATCTACGTAAACAAGTATGTTTATGAGGACATCTTGATAAATGGATTTTACTGGAATATGATAAAAATTAACACAAAAATGTAATTAGCACACAGGTTCAAATTTCGTTACATTGCCAGCATGTCAGTATAGCAGTTGTTTCGATATTTTAGGGCCTGTTCCCATTATCATGATTTTTCGACAATCCACGGACAAAGTCGTAAGACGGGGACTAAAAGATGCAGGTTGATGAAATTATGGGGAAGTTTTATGGTCGTCATAGTGATCTTCTAATTTCTATTTCTTTGTTTCTGGATGTGTTTGATGCTCTTTAGTTTGCCTGTTGGTACCGTTGTGTTATATAAAGCTGGATGCGTTTGATGCTCGTTAATTTTCCTGTTGGTTCTGTTGTACGATATAAAGCTGGATGTGTTTGATGCTGTTTAGTTTGCCTGTTGGTTCCATTGTTGTATACTTGTTCTCATAACTAAGTAGGATTGGCGAAGGTTTACTTCGCGGTTTATGAAGCAGAAGACGCTTTCTCTTTCGAAACGCTTGGTCTTATTTTCCTTTTACTTTTTCCCATGAGTTTCCATATCACCCGTTCTTCTGTTCATATTCTGCCCTACTTTTATTGAATTTGAGTTAAGATTAATATTTTTGTCACGAGTGAAATGTATATTGAACTACAGAAGTTAAAACTTTGGATGCAAATACATTTCAGGATATGGTTTCAATTCACAACAAAAAGATGTAAATTAATTTGTTATTATTTGTATGTGTATAAAACACTGTAATACAAATAACGATATGACGTGCAATTTTATAATATATTATTATGCCTTTATTTATTGTTTATTTTTTTCATTTTTTGTTTTGTTTTTTTGTTTTTGTTTTTGTTTTGTTTTGTTTTTTTTGTTTTTGTTTTTGTTTTTTTTTTTTTTTAGGACCATTATATATTGACAAGCTAACTAAACTTTTTAACATTAGAGGTTTTGGTTCCCACACAGATAGTTTCGTGATTTAACTATAAATGAGATGAAACTAAAACCACATCTTAAAATAGTGAATTATTGGCAAACTCGAAATGTTTGCGTGTTTGTGTGATCTTAAAAATTTTATGCGCTGAGATGGAAGCAAATTTGATTCAACGCGAGAAATCAATACCAGCCATATCTAAATTGCGATAATAAGATTGGCACCCAAAGGGCTTTTATTTTAGTGTCACATTTATAAATATTTATAACAATATCGAGAAAACGTGTTTTATGTCAGTCTTGATTCCAACTGATTTTAAAGTTGACTTGTAGGAGATCTGTAAAGGAGGATCTTATTCCGAGATTGATAGCGTGCTAATGATAGCTGTTGTTCAGTACGAGCTTAATGATAGCCGTGTTCCTCAACCATGGAGAAACGATAATACCTCCCTGTCACCTGGAATGCCCAGTTATTTACAGGACTTATCTGCAGAATTCTTGCTACGACACGAGAGGAATGGTACCGAAAAAAAACACGTTCCCGTGCTTCCAATGTTCCCAGATGCAATCCAACCTTAATGAATGTCATCACATTCTACTCAACGTGAGCGGGTAAAAGACATCAAACCAAGCATGGTGTGGTTGTCCTCAAATTCTTCCCAAAAATGTAAATAAGCGCAAGTATCCTTCGATAAAAAACATTTGGAATGTTTGAAGTGAGATCGATTAGATTTCATTCTAAAAAAATTCTAACGCAGTGTTATTAACTTGGTAAATATATTATTAATGTTTTCCAGAAGAATGTGCTAACAGTGTGGTGTAATTATCCTTTACACATCTTGTGGTGCTCGACGCTCTTCCCTTAAGACATTCGCAATTGCTTTGTATGGTCAATTAGAAAATTTCCATGGTTGTGTTACGTATTGGCGAAAGAAGAGGCATGGAACGAATTTTGAACTTCATTCTTGAAAAGGAAACTGACTATGACGCCGATAAAATATTGTTTAAAAAATATAAAGACTGAAATTGGAATAATGTTTTTGTAGATTGTGTTGAGGAAAAAAAACGGATTGACGAAATAGTAATAGTAAAGTACATTGGATTTATCCAAACTAGTAAAATAAAATAATTAATTTCACGTCGTATTATGTATTCATTTACTTGTGTGTCTGACGAAGATGTGTGGAATCTTCGCTCTGATGACCAGGGGACATTCTGTTTTAATTGCCAACCAAAAACAGACTAAAGTCTTTTAGATGGTAACATTTGGAGATATTCGCAACAATTTGTTACCACAAATCCAAGAGTTGACGAAAAATAGTAATAACAAATGGATTCACAATATCTGAGACATAGGAAAATATAATATCCGAAACAAATGGAAAAGCTCCCGTAATATTCTCTTGTACTTAAATAGCAGTAATGGAATGTATTTTGTCAATAGTGATGGTTATCAAAATTAATTGTATGACAATGTCAATAGTGATGGTTATCAAAATTAATTGTATGACAATGTCAATAGTGATGGTTATCAAAATTAATTATATGACATTGTCAATAGTGATGGTTATCAAAATTAATTGTATGACAATGTCAATAGTGATGGTTATCAAAATTAATTGTATGACATTGTGTAAACATGTGGGAAGCAGTAGGGTGTATCAGATCGTGTAAATGGTGGTTGTAGGTGAGAAGTGATGATACTATGTTGTGTGAACAGTGGGTAAATGTGTTGGTAGCAGTAGGGTGTATCAGATCGAATAAATGGTGGTTGTTAGTGAGAAGTGATGATACTATGTTGTGTGAACAGTGGGTAAATGTGTTGGTAGCAGTAGGGTGTATCAGATCGAATAAATGATGGTTGTTAGTGAGAAGTGATGATACTATGTTGTGTGAACAGTGTGTAAACATGTGGGAAGCAGTAGGGTGTATCAGATCGTGTAAATAGTGGTTGTAGGTGAGAAGTGATGATACTATGTTGTTTGAACAGTGGGTAAATGTGTTGGTAGCAGTAGGGTGTATCAGATGATCGAATAAATGGTGGTTGTAGGTGAGAAGTGATGATGATACTATGTTGTGTGAACAGTGTGTAAACATGTGGGTAGCAGTAGGGTGTATCAGATGATCGAATAAATGGTGGTTGTAGGTGAGAAGTGATGATACTATGTTGTGTGAACATTGGGTAAATGTGTT